TAATATCCATTGAAAGTAGGAGGGGAAGAAAACATATACTTTTCGCCTCCATGCAAAGAAATCTTATAAGGGCATTTTCAGTTTCTATGTTGTGAAAAATGCCTTTTCATTAAATGTTTTTTAAAAAAAAAAAAAAAGTTGGAAAGCAACCGTGACTTCAGAGACCTCTGGCAGTGGCCAAATGAATCAAGCACACATACGGGTATAAAGGAAGCATTGATGTATTTATTGGGTTCCTCTTCACAATCACTATCCCCGTCAGACGAATCGACGTCTTGTTCACACTCTCTGTTCCCTTCTTCTTCGTGTTTGAATAACACTCTGTTGTAATCATCTGGATCACAAGATAGTCGGAACATACAAGTCAAATAGCGTCATAGGAGTTAATAGCACATCTCAGTTAGTCATAAACCACTACAAAAGCTATGGCAGCTTATCAGCCATGTTAGTCTAGAAGAAATTATACAAATAATTCTTTTAATCACACAAGCTGGATTCTTCTTTGGTGTTCCAGGTAATCAGGCATGCCTACTTGAGTCCATGATATTTCATGCCACTCTTCTAATTCTCATTCATTCCTCTCTCTCTCCCTCCCTCCCTCTCCCTCTCTCTCTCTCTCTTTCTCTCCCTCCCTCCCTCCCTCCCTCTCTCTCTCTCTCTCCTTCTACAGCAATCAATCAGCATTCCTTGACACAACTAAGTATTCATTCTTTGGCCACTAAATAACACCACTCAATCTTATTGGGCTACTCCAGAAAATGCACACCTTCATTGAGTACGAAAGAAGCAGCCCGCTTCCTGACAAACAAGGGTCAGCATAGGTATTTAGTATTTATGTTGTAAGCTCTGAGTTGGCTCCTCCTGGGTCTCCATGTGAACTTTAGAATGCTAATGTTAATTTATCCATATACTGCTAAAGTTCTTATGTCTGTCTATTTCTAACCTTCAACTGGGTGAAATGGGGCATTATAAGGCAACGGTTTTTGAACCAAGGTACCTCAAATGGGCGAAATTACAGAATGCATCCAAATCTAGGATCATTACACCCATAGGATTAGATTTGGAAATGTTGTGCCCCCTTCAACACTGCCATGCTGACACACTGCCGTGGTCAGCCATGGTTACATGAAGTCATTTCCAATGCTCTCTGGTTGCTTCCCACAAGTCAATGGGGAAGCCAGAAGGAAATCCAGGTCCTGGTTCATCCTTAGTCATGGAAACTCACAGAGTAACTTTGGGCCGCTTTACTCTCAACCCAACTCATCTCAGAGGGGTTGTTACTCTGGGGAAAACCCAGGAGGAGGAGGAAATAACCTGTACAACATTTTGAGTCTTTATAAAAAGCGTATGTAAAATTAATTAACAAATCAAGGTTATTGGGAAAAACTAGGAGATGTAAAATTCCAAAGGGACTAAAAGTGCATCCATTCATCTTATATTTCTTGATTCCCTCCCTCCCCCAATTAATTGTATTGCTTAGATGACTGAGGCAAAAGCTAATGTTTTTAGGGGTCTTTACTTTTGCAAATTACTTGGAGAAATGTGTGACTTCTCACAGGAACAGAAGATGCAGAAAGAAAGTTTCCACACAGTTTGTTATAAAAGGTGTAAGCAAATTGTTTTAAAATGTAATGTTATTTTTTAAAAAAAATCAGTTGGATTAGTTAAAATATATGATTTGTAGGCTTCCCCTTGCAATACTCACATGGAATTACTGAGGCATTCCGGTTTTTCTCCGCGTTCTCTTGTTTTCTACCAGCTTTCTGATTCTGCCAGTTTTTGTATAAAGGCAGTCGCTAAAAAAAAAACAGATGCACCAAAGAAAAGTTATAGCTAAGCAGAAATGCTCAACTATATCTCACCATTATGCTACGTTTACTCAATTTTAAATGCCGATCAACTAAAATGAGCAGAAACCAACTTGCAGTGATGCAGAGTATTAACATTCCCACCTCTGCTTAAAATTAAAGTGTTAGTTTAGCAGTCATTTGCTGTATTTACTTTACTTCATTCATTTATTTATAAAAAAAGGGAGTCCCTGCAGATTTTACTCTGCTAATCGTTGCTGACTATAGGAGGCAGTTCTCATCATTTCAAGGCCATGTGATGCTGGTCACATGGCCAGCATGACATCACAAAGGGCTGTTACCTTCGCACCAAAGTGGTACCTATTTATCTACTTGCTTTTGCATGCTTTCGAACTGCTAGGTGGGCAGGAGCTGAGGTGAGGACAGAAGCTCACCCCATTGCAGCCCAGGTTCATTGTCTTGAACCTGGATTGTGGGCTTTCCAGCTGCTAAGCCACGGCACCGTCTCATTTAATTATATCCCATTATTATTGTTGTTATTGTTATCGTTATCACAAATAACTCAAGCCAGCGAACATACCCAACACACCTTCTTCCTCATATTTTCCCACAATAGCAACACTGTGAGGAGAATTGGGCTGGAAAAGAGCGGCTGTTGTAAAGTCACCTAGCCAGCTTTCATGGCTGAACTTGAACTCAGAGTTTGCTCCTTTTTAGCCTGGCGCCTTAACCACTAGACTAAACTGGCTGTCTCTGTATGAGGCCAGAGAAAGACATTCTACTTACCTGAAATTCAGCTTCCAGCAGAGATGGATCACTGAGAGGATCCTTTTTCTTCAGCTGACTGAGATAGTTGGGCAGTTCTGAAACAAAGACCTCTGTTTCGCCAAACTGGACATATTCAACCAGAGCGTGATGGATCAAGATGTACTGTGCCTAATGGACCAAAGGATTGCAGATTTTGTAAATGGCAGAAATGGAAAGTTGCAATAACAACGGGACTGGTAATTGAATCAATTCAACATTGCACAAAGTGAAATGCAGTGGTACCTAGGTACTCAACATTAATTGGTTTGGGGAGGCACGATAAGTATCTAAAATGATGAGTAGCCCCCATAAAAATTCCCATAAGGAATAATGTAGTGAGTCACAAAGCAGTGACACCAACAAGTTCTAGCTTGTGCATTGAGTACCAAACAAACAATGAATACAAGGGCAAAAATTCATTAGATGAGTTTCATAGCAGTTGAGTACCAGGCTCCCACCATATTCTATACGAAATAAAATTCTTTAAAATGCCCATAGCATATATGATAAATTGACCTAATAGGAATTCTATTTTAAAGAATTTGCTGGAGATAATCAAATTCTTATCTTTGAATTCCATGGTGGTGGTTGCAGAAATCTATACAGTTGTGGGCAAGTGAAGTAAAATGTCACAATATAACAAAGGTGACAATTACCTCATACATTACAGAAAGTGCTAATTAATCAAACTCTTTAAAATATACCTCCACTTGAACCATGAGGCATCGCTGGCGCCGTAATTTTGCAATATATCCATATACATCAACTCGTCCTTCAACCTCTAATCCCTCCAGCATTGCATCAATCCCAATATAGGTCCCAGTCCGTCCGACTCCAGCACTGTCGCGATCGTAAAAAAAAAGAAGAAAATGCAACAAGCATCATTCAAACTGCTGTTGTTAAGATTGACAGATTATGGGAAACATGCTGAGATCTGCCCTTAAATCAGTTCAACTGAACTCACAGAGATTTCGATGCCTGATAAATTTATTCCTCTAGTTACACGTTTATAACATCCCTTTATTGTTTAAATTGTTAAGTAAAGTTTAAGCAAATGTATTGCTTAAGCCAGTGTTTCTCAACCTTGGCAACTTGAAGATGTCTGGACTTCAACTCCCAGAATTCCCCAGCCAGCAAATGCTGGCTGGGGAATTCTGGG